TATGCAGTATTTCTCTTTTTGTGACTGCTCTAAGTCAGTCTTTAGTCCACTTTTTTAACCTTTCCTCTAAAGCTCAGGGTCCCAGGATTATCATCTGTATCTGTTTCATGGTCTCTTGCATCTTTGTTTTAGAGTGTCTGTGTAACTTGTTTGCGTAGTCTACCATCTTGCCCGAAGTTGTCATCTTTATTCATTTTATAACTTATTCATTGATTTTTTTTTTGCTACCAAGGTGTCCAGGTTGCGTGCTATAGTTGTAAAACCTCTGCAATCCCTCAGTATCACCTAGCCATGTCAAATGGAACTATATACAGCTTCTGCAGCTCCAGTTGTGTGGTAGCTTTCCAGGTATGATCTCAGGTAGTATCTTACCCCTGTAGTTCTATTAGCCATTGGTCTATGGCAAAATTCTAACTACTGAAGATCCCTATTTCTCAATTTTAAAGTCAACTTAAAAAAAAAAAACCAAAACCATAAACATTCGGTGCAACCAGGGTTCTAAAGGTCATATCCACCAAATGCCTGAGCTCAGGTGTATGGGCCTCAGAGCTTTCTTCCGTAGTCAGTGTCCTGCTCTTCCCTCCCCCACTTTCTACCTTGGCTCTCCCCTCACCAGGGGGAAAGGGACAGGTGGTGGTCACTGTGCTCTTCATAACCATCAGGGGCTGGTTGGTCATGGGAGCGTAGGTAGAGGAGAAACTTGGGGGAAAGGAGAGGTCTGCTCTAATGTACTAGAGGCATTTACTTGAGGTCTTCATCTGGCCAGCCTGAATTGCATCCTCAACCTTTTAATGTTTCATTTTCTCAGCCCTTCTATTCCATTTCAACCCTGTTTCCATTTAAACACTTTCTGTGAATGACTTTATATATAAAAAAATGTTTGTGGGGGAATTCAGTTTGTTTGCTAACGTGAGAAAATGAAAATTACTAAGTGATTTTGTTTACTTGGTAAAATCTCTACCTTGTTTGTGTTCTTTCAGAATGTATTTAACAAGCCAGAAGAAGGAGCCAACTCTTCAGCAGTGCCCCTGTCTCAGGGCCAAGTGGTAGTAAGCCCACCCACTGGGTCAGCAGTGTCAGCAGGAGGAGGTAGCGCCTCAGAGGTTTCCCCCAGCTCCATCAGTGGTTCTGCAGCAGCCAGTCTCCAGCCTCTTGCTGAGCAATCCCAGCAAGTTGCTGTAACCCATACTGTTTCTAAGCTCAAGTGTCATCAGCACTCTTACCATCTGTGTGCCACAAAACCAGAACTTCTGTTCTATAAGGTAAAGAGAGATCAAGAAAGGGATTGAATATAATCTTATCCAATAGAAGCATTTTTGTCTTTTCATCTTTCACAGTCACTTAATGTGCTTGAAAAGGAGAAGGGCAGTAGGTTTCTGAAAGATCAAGCACCATTTGAATAGACTTTAATGACTGTTACTTCTTTGCTTTTAAGGTAAAATGTTTCTGTTTTGTGGCAAGACTTGTTCTGAGGAATATAAAAAGAAAAAGTTGTGGCAATGTGTGACTACTGTAAGCTTCAGAAAATTATAAAGGAGACTGTGCAATTCTCAGGGGTTGACAAGCCATTTTGTAGTGAAGGTAAAGAAAAAAGTTGGTTTTATCCACAGAGCATGTGATTGCTATGAAGTATAGTAATTCATCATCATTAATTGTGGTTCATTTAACCATAAATAATTTTCAAGTAATTGTTTCATGAGGTATAATAAGGAACCTTAGTGATGTAGTGGGTTACAGGTTGGGTTGCTAGTCATAAGGTTGGTGGTTCAAACCTATGAGCCGCTCCGTGGGAGAAAGATGTTACAGTCTGCTCCCATAAAGACTTACACTCTCCTGTAAGTTGTGGCGCTGTAGGATAAGCATTGGACTGCAAACCACAAAGTTGGCAGTTCAAACCTACCATCTGCTCCTTGGAAACCCTACACAGGGTCACAATGAGTCAGAACTGACTTGAGGGCACTTAACAGCAACAATAAGGTCACAACACTGAGTCGGAATTGACTTGATGGCAGTGGTTTGTTTTGTTTTTAAGGTTAATATGTGCTTGATATTGAAGTCTTTTATATTCAATTTATATGTAATTCACTTTAAAATCTATCCCTTTAAATGTTGCAATAATCTCAATAAAAAGCTATCAAAATATGGTTAGATCTGTGGTATTAGAAAAAATCTCTTCGTAAGTTTGGTGTGATTTCAGGTATCTTTCTGTTCTTGCATTTATAAAGAGGGCACTTAAGCAATACTGCTGTCAACTTTTATACCTTTGATATTTGATATTTTTTAATATAGATGGCTTAATGTTCTGAATATACTCAAAAGACTATATGAGTTTGTTTTGTGAATATGGAACCTATCTTTCAAACTAGAGGCAAATAATTCTGTATTATGTATTTAGAAATGAGCTTAAAGTTATCTAAGACCATGGAAATTCCTTTATCTCCTTAATGTTAGTGTAAATTTTCTTTCCTCCTTTCTCGTTTTCAGTTTGCAAATTTCTGTCTGCACGTGACTTTGGCAAACGATGGAGAAACTACTGTAAGCAGTGCAGTTATTGTACACAGACATCACCTAATTTGGTAGAAAAGCGATTGGAGGGCAAGTTAGAAGAGTTTTGTTGTGAAGATTGCATGTGCAAGTTTACAGTTCTGTTTTATCAGGTAAATATGATATACTTTTTTGGCTTCCTCAAATTAATGCAGATTATTTATTTAAAAGATTGAAAAATTATGTAAAGAAATATTTAGTATTTAGAGCTGTGTAAAATAAATAATGAACTCCTATAGCAAAATTCTGGAGTCCTCGTGTGGCGCTGTGGACTAATGCACTAGACTACAAAGTTGATTTGATCAGCAAGGTTGGTGGTTCAAGCTTAGCAGCTGCTCCTTGAAAACCTTATACAGGGTTGCTATGGGTTGAAACCGACTCGATGGCACTTAACAACAACAACAGCAACAAAATTCTGGTGTGGCGCTGTAGGATAAGCGCTGGATTGCTAACCATGCTATCCATGGTTCAAACCCATCTGCTGCTTCTCAGAAGCCCTATTCAAGGTCGCTACGAGTCAGAATCAACTCGACAGCACTTAGCAGCAATAACAACATAGCAAAATTCTCAGAAGTCCTGGTGGTGTAGTGGGTTAAGTGTTGAGCTTTTAATTGTAAGTTAGGTGATTCAAACCCAACAGCTGCTCTATGGGAGAAAGATGAGGCAGTGTATGTCTGTAAATAGGAATAATCTTGGAAACTCTATGGAGCAGATCTACTCGTCCTATAGGGTCTCTATGAACTGGAATTGACTTGATGACAGTGGGTAGTGGGGTAGCAAATTCTGTTTCTTTCATACATGAAATCTCAGGGCAAAGAGGGAGGACAGGAGATTTGGAGATTTTGTTGTGTTGTTGTATGAGGATGTTATTAAGTGCTGTTGAATTGGTTCTGACTCATAGGGTTTCCAAGAAGCGGCTGATGAGTTTGAACTGCTGACCTTGTGATGCAAACTGACCTTGCGGTCTAGTGCTTTATCCCACAGCGCCACATCAAGACTCTGGGTATGTTCCTTATATTTTCTGCTTTTTAAAAAGACACATAACTTCTAAGTTAGAGTTTTACATAGTTAGGTTGCCTGATGTTACTTTCTCATCAGACGGTTGTTCTGAGGAATTTGAAGTTGAACCTTCTCACTTTATGGGTCAAATGACTGGTCAGCCTCCTTTAAAAATAATCATGTTTTTGAAAGACTAACTGTGATAGCTATAATTAATTGAACACTTATTATATGTCTTGTGCTACATATGTGTTATTTAATCCTCACTACAATCCCAAGAGCTGCATGTATTGTGTCTAGCTTTTAAATAAAGAAAAGGAATGAGGTTCAGGGAATTTAAATAACATGCTCCTTGATGAAGCTGGTAGGTAGATAGCAAGATAGCACCTGTCATGCTCTAGTGAAATAACTTAGTTTTTTGTTTACCTCATGTGCAAAATATCATCTTTCTCAGGGACGGGTCTATGTTTTTTTCACCACTTGTTGTTGTTTGGTGCCATTGAGTTGGTATCGACTCATAGTGACCCTATGCACCACAGAATGAAGCATTACCCGGTCCTGGGCTAACCTCACAATTGTTGCCATGCTTGAACCCATTGATGTTGCCACTTTGCCAATCCATCTTGCTGTGGATCTTCCTCTGACCCTCCACCTTACCAAACATGATATCCTTCTCCAGCGACTGGTTCCTACTGACAATATGTCTAAAGTATGAGAGACAAAGTTTGGACATCCTGGCCTCCAAGGAGCACTATGACTGCACTTCTTCCAACACAGATCTGTTGGTTCTTTTGGCAGCCCATGACACTTTGAATGTTCTCCTCAACACCATAACTCAAAAGCATCAATTCTTCTAACGGTTTTCCTTATTCACTGTCCAGCTTTCTCATGCATATGAGGTTATTGAAAATACCATGGCTTGGGTCAGGTGCACATTAGTCCTCAAGATGACATCTTTACTCTTCAACACTCTTAAAAGGTCTTGTGCAGCAGATTTGCCTAGTGCAATATGTAGTCTAATTTCTTGACTGCTGCTTCCATGAATGTTGATAGTTGATCCAAGAAGAATGAAGTCCTTGACAACTTCAGTCTTTTCTCCGTTGATAAGAATGTTGTTTATTGGTCCAGT